TCTGTGAGTCTCTCTAAGTCACAGTCATGTTAAATGATGTCGTCAGACAAATATATGATATAATTAGATTGGTTCAAATGTGGCACCAGACCATAAGCAAGAACAAAAAGTAGACAGGATGACACCCAAGAGCGTTGCCCCCTCCATATGTTCCCAAACACTAAAGAAAAGGGTTTTACCGAATGATTTGGGGCTGTCAGCAGATATGGCGTCCTCAGTCTTTTTTAATAAGCTCACAGCTTAACAGTACCGCTCCCTGTTAGACAGTAATGGTGGTGATTCTGACAGAAAAACTTGTTTGTTTCATAGCAGTGATTTTTCACTGTGTACAGGGGACAAATAAACAAGGATCACGCATTTTTCAAAACTTGAAGCTTCAAGGAAACCATAGATTTTATGAAAGGACTATAGGTTTTTCCATCCTCCCACATCTTTAAAGTCCACAGAGGTTCACTTGTCTGTTGTTAGGATGCTTTATTTTGGTATTATTTATGAGCTACAAAATGGTGATGTCAGTGAAAGTGCTCTGGTTTTCAGTAATTTTCTCTCTGCTGTTTCATCAACACTTCCATTCATCAGCATTACCTCAGGAGGAATATGACAAGACTAGAGACTTTATTTCAGGAACAGTCGCTGTCTGCTAAGATGAACTGTGAACAGCTAAAAATAGAGGCTCTATTTTAGTAACTGAAGATATTAAAGATACATATGAAACAGGTCACAGTGAAGCAAATGATAGCAGAGTGTGACAGACTATGAAGCGGCTTTTATAAAACATCCAAAGATTATCTTCAGTAGGTGATATGTATGTAAAATACACAAAGAAATGAATGGCTAATTTGCTTAACTGTGCACAGCATAATAGCCAGAGCAAATTTTAATCATGAATGTCAGATAATTAATGTCTTCCACAAAGCAGATTATAATGGTCAGGCGGCTATTGCTCAGCTAATTTATGAATATGTTCATCTTGAGTCATATCTAATTACCATTCTTATTCATCACCTGTTTATTTGTGTCATTACGAAGGAGGCCACTTTAAAGGGTTAAAAAAAGCTTTGGGCTCTTATTAGGTTGCCACTCACTTTGATGACCAGGACGACTAATTCAGGGAATCTCCACTGAAGATGAATAACAGGAGCCTTTTGTGAAATGCCAGCCCAAAGAAACTACTGTACTGATGCTGAACAAGAAGAATGATTGGACTCCACACTGAATCAGTGCAGTTTTGATTTAAGCTATAGTATGTGTGAATTAACTGTGAGTTAATGATCGAAATGTCACTCTGACCCTAAACAACATTACTTAATTACTAAATGGTGCACTTCATTGCTCATTATTTTTAAACAATGGCAACATGCGAGATATGTGTGAAAGATAAACAAGCAGTGTGAAAACGCTGTCAAGAGAACCCTGAGTTTTTGTTGTTTTTGTTCAACTCTGAGTTTGGTCCTATTTCAACAAATGCTATAAGCTGTAAAAAATAAATACAAGAATTTGTGTACATTCATAAGTAATCTATGGACTTTTTATATAGATGACTGAATGCTTTATTCTGGTAACATGTACGTTTGCTTGTGATGTGACATCAACACATGTGAGATAAATGCACTCTGTGCCTGTCTTGATCAAGATTCAGATCAAGTAGCTCAACCGATACAATGCCACCATGTCACTGGTGTCAGATAAGCAATAAACATCTAGATATGAAAACCGCCCCAGCAAAACGCTTAGCACACATAACCTAATTTGGCTTTTTTTTGACCTCCCAAAACAATGGGCAACAGAAAATTGTAATGTGCCAACAAGTGTGTGATTTAATTGTGTACGTCTGGCACATATCCCAAAACGACCTTCATTGTGTATACTCGCAGAGCTCCAACCATTGTCCTTTCATTGTGAATACTCGCAGAGCTCCAACCATTGTCCTTTCCCAGTGATGATTTCATGAAGTAAGATGGTGCGCTAATGGAGAGATCGATTATGTGATGTCAGCGGATGCATATTACTGGCGTGGCTGTGGCTTGTAAGTGAGTGTGTGTGTGTGCTCAGGTTGGCCTTGAGCCCTACACTAGTTCTAATGATGTGAGGAAAATGACATCAGGGGTCAGTTGACAACCCAGTAATGAGTGCAACATTCAGTCCAGACCCAGGAACATGCTCTTCTGGGGCCCTCTACCTCTGGCCTCTGAACCCAGACTGCCATGACTTCTGAGCCAGATAAATGCTAATTGGGCTCTGATGTACTGTCCACTGTCCACAGAGAGAGCAAAGGAAGAGGAGAGACAGGGGAAATGGGATGGGTGTGAGCCATAGGATACAGAGTGTAAAATATATTTAAAAATAAAATATTGGGAATTGATTTTGATGTGAGTCTTTTTTCAGAGCTTTTCATAGATGCTGTTGTTATTAAAAACTTCATGCCTTCAGCACTTAGTCCCTCAGCTTGAAAGGTGGGACAAAAAGCAGACACTGCAACCACTTAACAAGGTATTCTGTGAACTGCTGTCGCCACTTTCTATTCCCTGCACACTCACAAAGCAGACACGAAGAGAAAGAATGAGGCGCAAACACAGTCACTTACTGTAGACTACTGCAAACATATTGCCAGCTGCTTGACCTTTATCAAACGTCACGTATCCACTTGTCTTGTGGTTTGCTACCAAAACAAATACAGACACAATCTGATAAACCTGCAGAGAATTTTCATTTAGTCGTCCGGTGCTATAAATAATAACTGTAAATAATTACAGTTGGTGGTGGTATTGATCATTTTGTCTGAAAGTGAGCTTATATGCGAAGACCACACATGAAATTTACAAGAGTGGTTCATTTATGAATATGTAGATATATATATATATATGCCCACCCTATATATATAGAGAGAGAATATATAGGACACACCTCAAAACACCTGCACCCTTAGATTTCAATGTAAGTATACATGTCACATACTGTTTTTGTCCTATTTCATAGTCATCTCTCCAGAAAAGCCAGGCCTTATGTTGATCTCTTTTTGTGACTTTTTATCTCAGAGGTTAAAATAGTCTGACTTTGAAGAGTCGCTCAGAGAATCAATTTGCTGTCAAACCTTTACTAATCAGTAGAGTCAGAATGAACTTTCTGTAACTCTCATACTGAGTTTTCCTGAGCTGTGCGGTTTCTAAAAGCACGCGTTACAGTTACAGTATGTATGTGTGTGTCTGTCTTTCTCAGTATCTGTGCACTTTTATGAATCACTACAAATTTGTCAGCCTCTGTTTTCCTCTATGAGAGGACTCGGCCCCTCCCTGACACTTGCCACTGCAGCCACTAAAGAGGACACAGTTGAGGATGAAGCCATTTGAGTGAAATATTTTGGTGTCCAGTAAGGGCACTGGCGCCCTTCCCACACCCAGCATCCTCCTGGGACTGGTTGCTTGGCAACACTGGCTAGCAGGGTTAAGAAAGGGTCTGACACAGGCCAGAGGAATCAGATCACTCCCATTGATCATCTTCTCTGTGTTCCTCTGAGAGCTGAAGCCACGACCACAAAATCAAAGCCTGGCTGTCGTGTCTGAGAGGGGGTTATTACACACAAAGGAGAGCAAAGAAAGAGATATGGCTGGCATTGTGCAGCTGCTCTCTCTGCCATCCCATACAGTGTGATGTTGCAGCTACTCACAGTTGAAAATGTAATGATTGTAAGAGACACTATAGAGGAGGAGATCTGGAGAGTGGGGTCCTGCTCCGCGTAGACCTATTATCAGATGTTATGAGACATGCTGGGGTTGAGCAGGGGTGGGGGGCTCTATTTAATAAATTTAATAAAGCTGTTATATGGATTGGAAAAGGTGAAGGGAACACAGTGGAGGGCTATAGGTTGGGTGGTGGTTTCCCCAAATGCCACCCACTGCACCTGCCGTGTGGGAACCCCTACAGAAGGAAGACTTCTGGACTGATACTCACACTGCAGGTTTTTTCATTACATTATGAATGTAGTATTTGTACACTTTAAATAATCACATAATGTAACATCTTGTTCTTCAGAGGCAGTCCTGGCTGTCTTGGTCTCCCACGTCCCAGGCTAAGGTTTAGTTAGAGCGGTTGCAGTAGGAGACAATGGACATTAAATAAATAATACGTATACAATAGGTAACTGTTACTGGTTGAAAACTGAAGAAAATTCAAACCATGTAGGTACACATTCCCCCATTTTTGTACATGTTTAGTTGAAACCAGCTCTTTTGCCTTGTGTATTGACATCGTTGTTTTGGCACAAAGTGAAAGTACCAGTGTTGAGACTGGCCAACTGTTCCACCAGTACTGCTGAAGTCCTGGGGAGGTGTAAAGTGCAGCAAGGCGCTGTGCGGTGCCGACTGGGTGATCCCGCCCACGTCTCTTTACTCATGCTGTCCCGAGGGGAGGCGAGCACCCAGCCAACTGCTGTCACTGTTCCTCTACCAGCTGACTGAGTCACCATGAAAATGGGGCAGAGGCTCAGACTATCGGTCTCCTTTCCACCAGCTTATCCTTTGTTTTCGTGGTTTGCCGATTTATTTTGCAACATCTTGTAGTTGGACTGTGACATCCACACAGATGAAAAGACTAAAATCTGCCTTCCTTTTTAATTCATCATGAGGGAGTGGTTGTGAGATAAATTGTTTTTTCAAGTTATTATGTGTCAGTGTGTCAGTGCTTTGAAATTGATTTGTCCAACCTGAATGTGTGTCGGCTTTTTAATGTTTTATACTGTTAATTTACCACCATTGCTTCCCTTTCTATTCACAAGATCGTTTATCTCCTCATTTCTTATGTAACATCCTGTTAAAATCACTGGAGGAGGTTCTGTCTCTATTGAAGGAATGCATTGATTTATGTTTAAGAGTTTTAATCTTCATGCATTAACATAAAGACTTACGGTGCTACTGGCTTCAAAGATTAGACAAAATGTTTGTTGTTTACAAAAATTTATTCATACAAATTTTACAACTTTTTTTTAAACATTTATTGACTTGACCCTTGCAGATCATCATTTGAAGTCTAATATTCACGTTCTACACAGTAAATATATATCTGAAGATTATTTCATTTTAGTAAGGCTATTGGTGCTTTCATTCTCATACATATAATGTTTCATATAGAGGAGAAACTGGTCCTTCCCTAATTTTCACAAAACTCTACATTTAATGCTCTGAAAACAAATTAGCAAAATAAAATAAAAGCAGTGCAAGCAAGAATGCTTGATGTCTAAGCTGAATGGCAGTAAAGATCCTAGCAAATATCTACGCAACACAAAGACAATGACGAAAAGGTGAAATGTAAGCTGATGATGTGCAGCATTGTAGGGCCACTAAATAGCCATCATGGCAATTTTAAAGTCGATGCAAGGCACCACAGCTGCAAACTGCTTCCTGCGTCACAAAGCCTAGAGGAGAATGCAAAATTAAAAAAAGATTGATACAGTAAACACAAATCGAAGAACTCTACCCTGCTGTAATGCTCAGCTCGCTACTTCTGTATGTTAGTGCATGGTGCATCACCAGAGCTTTCTCAAGAACTGGGTGGGAGTACGCAGACTTTTTCATGCCATTTGTTGCCAGTGAGTTTTCAGTGTAACTATGTTGGTTGTTTTTCAAAATCAGCTTGTTTTTGCTTTCTTTATTTGCTGACCCTGATGTCTAACTGTTTTCTTTTTTTTGCGTTTTGCAGTTTACTCTTCTTCCTCCTTAAATTTAATAGCATTATTTAAATGAACTCAACAATGTCAGTTTTTTATGGCATACTGCAGATAAAGACACTAGAAAATGGCCATTTTAATTGGTTGATCATAGCTTCTTCATATACAATTTAACAGTTACAACTGCAAAAACTACTGTTGGTTAAATCACAGAGCCTAAAATATAAAGCCTGACAGTCTGAGAAATTATTTGCCAGAAGTAAAGTACAGAGAGATTCTTCAACACACAGCTTGTTTAGAAATATTAGTGAGGAGAACAGAACACAAGACGACATCCAGAGATGACAAGTATGCAGCAGTCACAAAGCATGCTGCATTACATGTTAGATGTTTACCATGTAACAAAAAACATTTCTTAGTGTTTTTAACATTTTTCAACGTTTGCCTGGTGTTGCTTTGAATTTTGCTGATACATGACAGACATGAGAAAACCCTCAGCAGATTAAGAAGTTTCCAAACACACAGAAATCAGCTGATAGAAACACAAAATTGGCACTTCACAGGAGTCAAAGCTCACTCTGAGAAAACAGCAGAAGAAAAGGATGTGAAAAACCTCAGAGGTACTCTGGTCCTCGTCTCAGATTTGAGATTCTTTGTGACAGCCATCCTGTGTTTAATCCATCAGGGCTCACATTTGGTCCAAGCCAAATCTAATAAATGAACTTTATTTCATTACAATATCATCCTTTTATCCATAAACAGGATGCTAATAAATCTGCAGTTTTGGTATCAATCAACAGCAAAGTCTCTTCATATTCAGCCTGTATGCGTGTGGCTATACAGGTGAGATTAAAGGTTAAATCTGTGAGACTCTAGAGCACAAATGAGGTGGAAGAAAAGTTGAGTGTTTGGAGAAAAATCACAAGGTTAATAGTTCAAAGTGAGATGAAAAGGAGGGGACATGAGATGCCCCCCTGCAAGAACATGGCCACAGGAAAGAGCCTGAAACTCACCGGAAATTCGGGAGAGAACTGTTTCAGCCAGTCTCCCAAAATAGCCTCAAACTCATCCCCGTCCGGGAGGGCATCAATGTTTATGCCTTGTAGGATATGGTGAATATCCTTGTCTTCAAGGCTGTTGTGGATAAAGACAACTAAACTCTTAAAGTCACTTTACAAAAATCAGCATTCAATACATTGATTGTCTTTTAAACTATTTATTTTCCTCACAATTATGTCTCTTCACTAGAGGTTTAAAAGACAGGGCTGTTGGAGCAAATGTGAACAATGTTATCCTCTCAGTAAATAGGTCTAAAAAAAATAAATCAATGAATACATCAATAGAGGCTGTTTTTTTTAAATGAACAAAAATTGGTCCACAAAGTAGATATGTACGTCCTCAAGTGCTTTAAGTACAAAATAAAAACAACATTATTATCAAAATATTCATTTTAATGGCTTACTTCATACATAAATACATGTTTAAGAACACAAAAGCAATCCACTGATTGTTCAGATCTCAGAATGACTTCATCTGGGGCTGCACACACCTAAGTTTTTTTGTTTTTCAGGAGGGGGGGGATGCTACAAATATGCCATCCGGCGTCCTTTGTTTCTAATTCTCTGTCTATACCTTTTCCCAAGGACTGCTGCCAGGTATTTCTTGACTGCCATTTGCTTTCTGTAGCGGCTGTAGCTGTCTGTGAAGATTCCGTCTGAGTGTCGCTTGGACAGGGGCTCTGAGCTGTCGTCCAGTATCCCTGTGCTGTGAGAAACAGAGCAGAGCAAGGTTTCACTAGCAGCAGACAGACACACCTGCATTCACGTAACCTCTGCCAATCTGGACACTTGAATTATGATCTGTGTCACCATCTCAGACGGAGAGAGAACACATTTTGTTCAAACTAATGCAAAAGTGTTGGGCAGAGACTTGATTTGTGTCCTTTAAGGGAAAATAATCAGATATATTTTGTTCCAGGACAAAGCATGTTAGTGCAGAATGATTTAAAAAAAAGTTTTTCAAAATCATCCATCAAAGGCTTTAACTTTGGAGACATATTCATGTTCTCTTTTTGCTCAACGTTTATCCCATCCCAAGTTGATCTGGGGTGTATTTACGATCTGCAATAAACTGACAGACCTGCCGAGGTAGGAGTTATTGCATCCATCTCTTCCATCGGGAAACACTGAGACCCAATCCTTGATTTATTCGTCTGGAAATCTAAGTAGCCTAAACCTGTGCGGATAAATGCTTCCCTCTGTGCCTTAACAACACAGCAGCGTGTTTAGAAAACACTTTCCAAATCCTTCTAGTGCCTGTTGATGCTTCCCCTCCACAATTTCATAGCACTAATAAAGCCCGATTCAAAGAGCGAGGGCGTCACATTTGGCAGCATGCTGGGAGATACTGGGACCACAGACATACATAACAACGTGAAAATGAGCATTTACAGGATCAGCCAAAAGAAACAAACACAGGACAGGAAACATTAAATAGAAAAGAGGAGGTGACAACCAAGAAGATGTCCTTACCCTACACGTTTTGCCATCAGAGAATGCAGATATTTCCTTGCTGATATCTGACCCAGCGCTTTCCTGTAGGCTTTATTAAACATGCCGTCTGCATGCCTTTCCGTTCTGGGATGATAGATAGCCACACAGTAAAATCACCACACACCCAGCGCAAGAGGCAACAATGTCAAGCTGCACTGCAAAAAATAGCTTTTTGTATAAGTCAATTATAAGTCTGATATCCGGTCTCAAACATTTTACTGGAGAAAAGGAGCAACAATCTACATGTAGTTTGGAGATGATTTAATATGTCTAATAATTATATTTT